TATTGGCAATACCGACGAAATATCTAAGAATGTATTAAATCGGCGATCCGATGCTGGAAATTATCATGAACACTATGACAGAGGATGCAGGACTAGGTATGCTTTCACAAAGTCTCTGCGTCGCTCTGACAATCCTGCGAAAACAAGGTCAAATCAACACTATACGGATAAAGGAGACTGCAACTAAACCTTTGACCGCACCATTTCGGTATTTATAGGTACGAAATACAAATATAACCCAAATTTGAAGTTCATTTGCAGTATATTTTATGTTTATCATGAGGTTATGAAACCGCTTAAGAAACGGCCCTAATAAATTCCGTTATTTGGAATAAGTATGCGGGGTATTAGCTTAATTATATTCTGAAATCACGATTAATTTGGGGATAGAAGGGAGTTAAGAGAAAACAAGATTAAAATTATCCGCCCACCTTTTCATAGCCCTCTGGCAACAACCTCCTTGAAGTATGGCAGCCAACCATTGTATTTTTTATCAAAATTGCTGAGAGATTGTCGGCCTCCTCCACACTCTCCACGCTCTCCACTTGGGCCAACATGCCAGAACTCGATGACGCTAGGTAAGACTGCGAAGCCAGCTGCGGAGGCGAGGGTGAAGAAAGAACTCCAGAAGCAAGCTGGCCACGTTCCGAGAAGGGATCTGGTACAGCAGTCACTCGAGTAGCTTCTACTGAGGCTTCTCGAGCTGAACTGTAGGCACCGATCGAATTCGAACGACACCTACTGGCTTGATGCTGACGTTGTCGAACTGGAATAGGCATAGGCGCATGCTGGTATTGTCGGGTCCGAGCATGAAGAATAGAGTTGGTCTGGTTATGCCGGGCAGGGTAAGGCCTTCCATTCGGCCCTTGGGGCACCGGCAAGTCATGACTAGAGGCGGGATCTGGTGACTGGGCCGCTTGATTGGCTGTGACAGAGAAGTCTGATGAACAGTGGCTGACTAGTTGACCAATTGTAATATCACCCCTCGAAGTAGCGACAGCCAACCCACATAGTCCGACAGTCTGGCTCGACGGTTTGGTCAAGCCAAATGAGCTGTCGCAAAATTCATGAGGGTCTGTTGGTCCTTTTGGCGGACAATTTTGCAACGTTGAGGTGCGACAGGCATCTGGTGATAAGTTACTCATGTTGCGTGGACCCGAGAAAAAGCCAAGGGCCGATACCTGAAAAGCCAGATCGTAAATTCATTCAGAGTTTTATTTCAAACGATGGGGTAAAATGTTTTATCTTGGAATTTGGAACTCTTCTGTGAGCCTGAGAGGCAAAAAACTTACATCTCTTGGACCTCCTATTTCGCTCAAAATAGAGGCGAAAATAAAATTGAAGAAAAATTGAGTCATTCGAGGTCGCTCAACCTGCGATAAGAGCCGAAAGTAAGATTTCCCATAATAACATAAGTAGGCCTCATGGTTCCAATTAATATCACCTGGCCTTGCTTCTCGAAATAAAGAAATTAGTTGAGAAATTGCAACAAACATCGAGGATTAAAGCAAAGCCTTTTCGCACATACTAAGAATAAAATATGATCAGGAAACTAGTTACTGCTGACACGAAGTAATCTTATTTTTCGCTTAATAAGTAAGATTTCGAGATTACTAGTTGTGAAATACTGGTGGTAGAATTCTCCAGCATTTATATGAATAGTCCATACGTTTCCATTGAATTGCGCATAGCCTTGTTTTCCAAAAGGCATTCTCATTCAGGGTAGACTTCAGTCTCAACCTAGCGGGTCTCTAATCCTATTATGACACTGCCAAAAGTGCTCTTAGGTCACAGAGCGTAAGCGAACTTCAAGGAAACCAACGAATTT